CAAACTTCCCTGTATCAGGTATACTGATGCATAGTCGATGTCCGAAGATGTTCATAATGGACAGTCCGCTGTTTGCACAAAAGCGAAAGAATTTCATGCCATTATCTTTCAGGTCGCTAGGGCCGAAATTTCGAATCACACTTTACCAGTTATCAGTGTGTGCTCGAGTATGCGCATCGAAATCGCCGATTACAATGAGGGGCTGCGTAACCGGCACTTCGTGTAGAGCACATTCTACTTCTTCAAGGAAGTACTCATATTTTCTTTCAAAATTGGGGGCATAGACCTGTAACTCCACCGTTGCCGTTATCAAGCCCGGATGAGAATAAAGGAGGGTTGGAGATTGTGTCGAGGGCTCCGTAAAACTTAGCAATTTGCCTCTCATGGTGACTCCACCATCGAACATCATACCGGCTCTGCCCGCGCCCAGGTTACCAAAAGCCGAGCAGGCTGCTAAGAAACTGAAGCAGGCTGCGAAATGTTGGGGATCAGAACGTGCCCACTGCCTTCTGGTACCCGGGGCGTAGGAGCAGGAGAATGGCTGCCGAAGATCGACAAAGCGACGACGAAGACATTAATCAGCAACGGAGAAGCTAACTGTCCTGCAGTCGGATCGATAATCCGAACTTTATTTGGCAAGGCAGAACGGTATGGTTTTCGCGATCTGTACCTGAGCGAGAGAAAATTTTGCAATTATGAATCGGAGTGGGGTATTTCTTGTTCCGAATACTGACCGCGTCGCTTCCGTCATTTCTCACTCGCTTTAGAGGTGAAGCACTTTAAAGACGAAAGTGAGAGGCGGTGGAACAGTGAAAGATGGTGATCACCGTTTTTCACAACCTGGGACGGAGAAGCCAGCTACGCCAGTAACTGCCGATTGCCTTCAAGAATGGGTTTACAGTTCTAATGCGGTAGAAGAGGTCCATAATCTTCAGGTCGTCATGACCTTCAGGCTAACAGTTTCAATATACTAACAACTGCTACACTGAAACGCCAGCGTTATGGCATCTATGTGAGTGAGTGAGCCGCCAAAACTAGAATGATGGTACAGAAGCTGAAGAGCAAAGGTGCCATTACCAAACTTTGCGGCAGACTGTTGTTGAACGTCTCAGATAGACTGACCCAATCCCCTAGAAATAATGGAAACCGCCAGTTGCTCGGCAATTAAACGCACGGTTTTACGGCACTTTAGCATTTTCGTTAATATGAGCAGTCCGTTTCTTCACAACACAGCGAAGGTGCGTCTGAGGTCAATGTTAACCGCCCGGTTATCTGCTTTTTGTAGAAGCCGAAACCAATGCATGATGTATATGCCGTTACGTGGGCAGAGTGGTTCTTTTCGAGCCAAAACCTACGTTTTCTTATGGAAAATCAATCTTCACGATGATCATGCGATGCACGGGCAGCATTCGCTTCAGA